GAATCTCTGAAGACAGTTTAGATAGTATTTAAGAAACGAAGAACAAAAAGACTACAGTCAGGCACAGGTTTAATATATCTAGGAAAAAAAGGGTATTAGGGATTAAAAACAAGTGTATCGAAGACTTGCCAACTACAGCAGTTTTAGGAAAATGAAATATTAAAGAACCTTATAATACAACCATAAAGCCTGAATTTAAAAGCAGAGGAATAGGTGGATGAAACACTTTAAAGAGCTTTGAATAGACTAGCCTCAACGAACTCACAGGATATCGGAGAAGCACGTACATACCTGCCCAAAGATGCTACCGCACCAACGATCAAGGAAGTCGTCAGAGCCATCAAATAAATCCGAAATGGTATAGCAACAGAGGTAAAAAGCATACCAGCTGAGGCATTGAATTCAAATTTATAGGTTAATCTTTGGGGATATCCGAGAGGAAAAATAAGTATTAGCAGATTAGGCAGAGATATACCACATCGAGATGCGGAAAGATGGAAGTCTCAGTAATTATGAAAACTGTGGATGGATATCAATACTCTCAGTGGTGAACGGACTTTTCAACAGAGTATTGCTGAACTAAATGAAATTTAGTAGATATTCAACCTAGAGACCAACAAATTGGCTATTTTAAGGATCAGTCATGTACCGACCAAATCGTGATACTGTGAATAATTGTTGGGCAATCAGCTGAATGGAACACATGACTGTACACCAAATCCCCTGATTAGAAGAAAGGGTTTGACAGTTTGCGTAGGAATCCAGTCAGTCAGCTACAACGTAGGACCAGGTACATATGTGCATCAGTCCAAGTTGCCATACCGCATTAGCACAGCAAAATGAACACCGGATTCATAGAAGTAGTTAATTCAGTGGTGGTAATATATAAAAGAAAGACTGCATATAAGGACATGGTACGAAAAGAAAGATTTGGCTCGTAGAAGGAAAGATATGAAGCAATTTTAATCTCTTAGTTTAAGGGAAGACGGAGAGTGTATACACCTACGCCATTGTGATCGATTCTGAGCCTTGTCACCTCAAGTTAAATAAATAAATATACCCAAAGTCTCAAACCATTGGTCACGATAGTCACGGTGACCTCAACCAAGTAGTCTGCATCTACCAACATAGTTCAGACCAGAAGTTAGTGTTTTCAAGCACTGATGCCACGTTTTTTATTGGCCGCCCCTAACTTTCTTCTTTGTGTAGGAAACCTTATAAAGTGTGCTTTAACATTATGGGGTATCTTTACAGATCATCAATATCACATAGAACTCCAACAATGAGAAGAATTGGGGAGTCATGCATGGTGACCAGCTCTTAGATGCGTCCCAAATAAAGACCGGTATCAGATAAGGCCGCTTACTCTCACCTTTTGTATTTTTTCTGGTTGTTGATTGGATTATGAAGACTCTACATCTCAGGGCAAACGTGGAATACAGCGGACACTTTAGACCCAAATGAATAACTTGAACTATGCACTTCTAACCCATACTCAACAACAAATATAAACAAGGCTAGCAGGTGTAGAAGCAGCTTCTGAAGAAGTAGGCTCCAGGATTCACATGGGTAAAGATCCTGAAGTACAGCACAGACATCTACTAAATTACGTCTGATGGCGGCACACAGGAAGAGATCAAAACATTTACATATTGGGTAGAATCGTTACTAAGGAAGGAGGATCTGATGAAGAAGTAAGAGGATGAACTGGATAAAGAAGAGCCACATTCCTACGATTGAAGAATATTTGGAACTCAAAACGAATGTCACACAGTTTCGAAGTTGAAATTTTCAACACCGACATTAGAACAGCTCTGTTGTACAAAACAAAAATGTGAAAAATTCCCATAATTATCACTAGTTGTGTACGAAAGATACTCCAAATTCATTACCTAGAGATCATCGGCAATAGTGAACTGTAAATACGGATAAATCAGGAATTAGTATAGGCCTCTGGGGGCTCATCATAAGACAATCTGTAACTTGGGATCTTCAAGGTGGAAGAAAAAGAGGCAGACTAAATAATACATGGGACATAAATTTGCAGAAAGTTATTAAGATTATAAATATGACTTGAAAACAATAAAGCAAAAGTGTCCAGATCAGAGTTAGCTGGAGATTCCTGTTCGGCTGCCGACGCCTCAGGAGAGGTAATAGGTTTAAGTATGTAGTAGCCTCTTTTACACTAAATTTATCAGTTTGTCACGTGAATGTTCAAAAAGTAATTTTAACTTTATACTATCAACATTGGGATATAGGAACATTTAACTGATGACTCTAAATAAGATGAAACGTAGTTCTTGGATTCTATTTCAAACCAATATCCAAGTGTACTAAAAGCATGTGACTAAATGGCAATATCGAAGCAATCCGCCTTGGATTTACATTTTTCATCAGAGACTGATCAGTCAGAAACCTTAGTGTCCAAAACAAGAAAATATCAACCAATACAAATAGAATTTAGTATGTCACAGGTAAAGAAGCCTCAATGCATATATGTCAAAACATTCAGTCACACAATTAAACAATTTGAACCAAGGTTTTATCTCGAACACCAGTCAGTCTATAAGTTTAATATTTGCTCTAACATTCAGATTAAAAACACGGTTCCTAAAAGTACCTTAAATACAAGTTACTATTTCTGGGCTCTCATTTAGATGAGGAAACAGCTAATTGGCTATTCCTAACACTCAGAAATCACTCTAATAATCGTGATGTACAGTAGATCAACTCGGCTGTCGTTAGTTAATAAAATATAACTGAGACATCCTATCGGTCTTGAATAATCTACTTGTTGGAGAAATGTATTTACAAAGTGCAAAAAATGACTAATTTTATGACAACCTTCTGTTTAGGACTGTAATTCAGTTAACAAAGATTACATCATTTGCACATAACTTTTGATTGCTTGATCGGACAAACAGAGATCGTGATCTGTTGAGGATATCAAATCATTTAGAATGTTAACTAAAGTTTGTTATCAGTTTGATAACTCTGTTTATAATAAGTGCTGAGACATCCCTGTAGATAATTCCAACTTATTACCCATTGACTCACGTAAACACACTTACTAGAATTGTTGAGTGGATGCTTGAGGTTATTTCATACAATCATATCAAACGACTATATGGAGATTACGAGCTGAGTTTTAGAATTAGCTCGTGAAAAGTCGATAAGTAGACGCAAGTGAAATACTTTTGAAAATCACTTTAAATAACTTTTATTGAAGTATCTTGTTAGCTTTACTCAAGTAAATAGGTAAACAGAACTCAATCCTCTTATTTCATCTACGTTATAATTTGGTTAGAAAATTCTGAGTAGACACACACACACGTTCAATCTTATATCACTTGCCTAATATAATACATTGATCCGAAATTTCTGATTATTGAGAGTACTCAATAATAATAATAATTATTATTATTATTACTATTATATTTTTCCATACTAGTCATTAATAATTTACGTAACTCACATTTGATAACATATAGTTTTTGCCATTTAATAATATCAGCTTAAGGACTATCCATTAATAAACCATTCCGTTATAGTTTGGGAATTATCTACAATCCACATTAACATTCATTTCTACAATGGAACTGTGAACTTTTAGATCTTGCGATCAGTGTACAACCGATAGACACTAATTTGATACCTTATCTTCTACATTTTTAGTAGAATATGATCTGTTATATTAGCACGATCATTATCCAATGTAATAAGAAATATGTATTTCATTTAACGTACCATTATATGACAAATATCGAATGAAATACATGCTTTTCATGTTTGTTTTTTAAACGATTAAAAAATACATTAAGTGATTTAAATTATAATATGTTTTTGATGATTATATAATCATTTGAGATAAACATTTTTATCTGCTGACAAGTTATGTTTAAGAAAAACATAATATGTCAAAAATTAACCTCTGATTATGTTGAATAATGTACGAAATGTATGAAGTTTTGACGACTTATAACAAAACTACTGATTGTGTCAATGAAATCGATTAGTTCTGTTTTAAGTAAATATATCAGGGATCATTTGATTTTTTATATGATAGTTTTCTATATATATTACATTCAACATTGAGATATTTTAACTATATTTAGTTATTTTGCTTACATATCCCTGTTACCCCCAATAGAGCATAGGCTGTCAACCAGCATTCTCCAACTCACACTGTCCTGGGCTTTCTTTTCTAGTTCTATACAATTGTTGTTCATTTTTCTCATGTCTGTCTCCACTCTGGGGCTACTGCCGGTCACAAGCCCGGATAAAAGAAGAGGATTGGGTATGGGGATAGCGACTTCATATCGTAGAAAACTAACACGCTAAAAAACGCTAACCAGAAAAAATGGTTCAAACCATTTAAACTCTGCCTTGGAAGTTAGAAGGTTTTTATTTAGAAGTGTTATGATGTCTGATGATGAAAGCTGAGTTATTTCGGAAGTCAAGAGGCCGATACCCTTTCTGACAACCAGAGTAACCATTAATTTCGGCACATGGAATGTTCGTCAATCGAATGCTATACGCCTTATCTACATTTATCTCATTATTATTATTACTATTATTATTATATTTATTATTCTGTTTTTGATAGTTTTTTGATAGAAATCTACAAGTTGCATGAAATGAATCAATAGGAAGTTTTACAAACAGATGATGCGTAGTTTATGTGATCAAACTAATAAATAAAAATACTGTTTAACAACTCATTTGTGATTTTATTTATTATGATTATGATTACTAATTCGTGAATATGAGTTTCAAAGGATACAGTTATTTTTTAATGAGTTTGTTGTTGTTTTTTAACTAGGAAAAAAAGACAATTTAATGATTATTTCATTCTAAATATAGAAGTAATTGGATTTCTGAAAGTACACAATGAGTGGTTGATTGTTTTTTATTTAGATTGATGGGTGTTTCAAAGCTTTATCAAAAAAAAATCTATGCAAATAAGTGAACCTGTCAATTCGATAAAAATAGTGAAATCATTAACTCCATAAAAATGGCGAAAAATGTTTAACATCATCATCATCATCATCATCATCATCATCATCATCATCATCATCATCATCATCATCATCATCATCATCATCATCATCATCATCATCATCATCATCATCATCATCATCATCATCATCATCATCATCATCATCATCATCATCATCATCATCATCATCATCATCATCATCATCATCATCATCATCATCATCATCATCATCATCATCATCATCATCATCATCATCATCATCATCATCATCATCATCATCATCATCATCATCATCATCATCATCATCATCATCATCATCATCATCATCATCATTATTATTATTATTATTATTATTATTATTATTATTATTATTATTATTATTATTATTATTATTATTATTATTATTATTATTCTACGACCTTAACATTTGACAATGTCTCAGTAAGATCAAACAGATGGTACGGTGAGATAAATCAGAAAACATATCGAAATAAATTAATAAATGCTTTACATAATTCACAATATTTTTGCATTTCAACAACACTTAAATTTGTTTTCTCTTAAGATGTCAAGTGAAAATGCACATATCCGTCTTCGCGTTACATGGTTGGGATCTACTAAATTAATAAAAGATTCATTTAAAAATGGTCTTCATCACGAGTTAACATTTGAAGGCAGAGAATATTGAATGACCGTTCAATTTAGATTTATATCCATTACCCAGAGACGTTATTTATATTTCGTATTGTCCACTGTTTAAGAGTTTTGAACTAGAGTAAATCAACTTATCAGAACCCTTAAATTTCTAGTGATCCTTTTCCAGTTGACGTAAGTAATTAATGAAAACAATATTCTCATGAAAAAGAGTTTTGTGAATTACCTAATTCAAAAAATTAATTGTTAAAATTTAAATTTTAGTGAACTTTACTTGTTTTCTGATGAGTTATTGGTGAACTTTTAATGTTTATCTACTGATCTGACAGTGGTCTACCGAAGCCTTTTTAAGCAGTGTTTAACGGTTATTCAGGATAAAAAATTATCCAAGAGAATTAAGTTAAAAATCAACTGATTAATTTGATATATATATATATATATATATAGTGGGTGATCTTTCTTCCCATGAACCAACGCATGCGGCACAGAGACCTGATTGACCACCAACTGTTCACAAGTCAAGTGGAGATAGGGTTAATCACCGACTCTGTCATAATTCTGATTACAAGAGGGGGGATGTTGACTTTGGATAAAGAGTACGATTGTGGAGCTGCAGAAAACTTTTTTTGGTGCCTGAACGGATATTGTCTGGAAGGACGCATAAGGTCTGGCAGTGGAGGGTCGAATTGTACGTCATAAACTGTGCTGTAAACAGTGTATGGGATTGACATTGAACCTGCTTTTGGTGTGAGCGTCTGGTGAACACATCATTTATGACGACCTAATAATATACTGATTAGAGTACTCGATACTCTTTCAGTGAAAACATTACTGGGATACGGCCTGTGGCGATTGGATTCATACCTATATGTATCCTTTGGAGTGCTTGCACCTCGGCTTATGCCTTCTACATGTGCGTGTATCACTTACTTGAGAGCAAAAACATCTATGCCTATGTGTACTTGTTGGATGAGTGGACTTGTTTGAGCATTCTACAATTGCATGTAACGCATAATAGCAACCGCACCCATTTATTCCTATATGTATATCACTGGAATATACGTATCTATAATATATGCATCTGAATATATGCATATAAAGCATACTTGGGGAAATTTCCATATCTCTTTACTTGTGAACTTATTAATAGCTCATCAGAGCTTTTGGTTTCAATTAAAGCTCCCGAAAGTGATAGGAAATTGTAATGTAGGTGAAAATGAATACATATGCATTAAGTAATGCGGGTCAAGTTGATCTCGCAACACTACTGTTATTTTAATTCCTAAATACACATAAAAATGAACTAAAATGAATACTTTTACTTTGCCTTCTTCAGTGTCCAGTCGCACTTTCTTCGCAGGGTTCTTTTTTCTGAAGGGCCACAGGCTTTACCTACAATGTTAGGTGGGCATAACTAACTTATATGTAATTTAATCTGCATTCAAAAACTTGGTGGTTTATTAATTATTATCTTTTATTTCATTTTCAGCTAAATATTGGTTAGAAAACCAATGTTTACCAGCTTTTTACTCATCTAATATTAATCAATGCAGATAATGATAAAAAAATTCTGGTTGAGAATCACACTCAATAAAAGGTGAGTAAACATGTGCTTTGTTTTTAGATGATAACCAATTATACTACTGGGTCATTCAGACCAATTTTAAGTCTACCTGCCTGTTACGTCATGTAGCCTGATTGATATAACACTGGACTTAACACAATTCAAGATTTTATCTTTAAATTATGTTACTATATGGAATACAATTTATAACTGTTTGTATTCTGGTGTATGCTACTTAGGTTGACAGACATAAGTAGTATGTAACACCAATCAGAAGTGAAAAATCTGGTAGCAGAAGGCTAAGAAGATCAAGTGGAAGTGAAAATAGAAACGGAAATAGAAAATAATTGTGACTTGGAAGAATCATACAGAATGTGAAGGGCAAATGTTGGCAATTTGCAAATGAAGTATTCGATGTATGTTTCTCATATTTTAACAATGAATTCTGTAATTTCGTGTAAGATAATAAATTGATTGTTCTCAACTGAGTTCTCAACCACTACAGTATTATTAAAGGATGATAACATAAGTTTCTAATCATATTTATGAGACAGAAATTAAATTTGTGTTGAATGATCCATCCGCTTATTTTTTTCTCTCTTGTTCTGCTCCGTTCCAGCTTTCTTTGCTCACGCCGCTCTTCACGTTTCTCTGTAATTCAAAGTACCTTCAGGCATGACTTGAGGTGCTATAGATTAAAGTCAGATAATTAAATGATAGAAAATATTTTGATTTAAACAAAATAACACTATTATTATTGTTAATAAATAATGAATATATTTTTTCAAAATTTGTTTATTCAATACAGTATTTCTTGATAGTTATATGTATATGTTATATCAGCTACCAGTTAGCCTAAAAGAAGTTATTTCTAACCAAATCATCAAAAAGTATGTAGTACGGTTCAAATACAGGTAAACTAGCTTGATTAATTTCAGAATTATTGAGTATACACTTTGAATATATACGTTATGCTTTTTGTGAAATGGTTGAAGCCAATCAGAGGGAATGCCTGGATTTAGGTTTTGTGTTAATTACTGTTCATCAGCCAGAAGTATTTACAGTCTTTGGTGAACTGGTGCTCTCCATGGAAGTTGGAGTTGTATTATTACTAAGCGACAATTTAGTATGTGCATCTCATTCCTAGTACCCATTATTATTCGGGTAAATAATTTATTTGTAACATCGAAGACTTGCACTGTGGATAATATAAATCAGTATTCCATAGAGAACACTAGTTTCCAGTTAATTGCATTTACATCTTGTTGTCGAGTGGTGACCACTACGAAACTTAAGTCCTAAACTTCTTGTTAGCAGCTTAAACTAAATAATATCAAGCAAAGTTTACTGAGCTGTCTAGTGACTTAACTTAGTACCCTCTTTCCAAATTGGTAGATGGGATTTGATTAAGATTATGAACCAGGTAGCATGATAGTAGCTATTTATTAGCGATCAATTATTTAAAATATCTTTCCCTTAGTTGTGAAAACTGTTATTAAATTATTTTAATCTCTAAGAGAAAAATGTATGGAATAATCGCACATTAATAACTAAAAACGAAACTAAGTTATTAATATCGATCATGTTTGCAGAATTGGATATTGATATGAACATGCAATAAATAACACAATCTTACATATTGCATTTATCATACTCTAAACTTTTTAAAATAAAACCCTAAAAGGAAGGAGTAAAATAAAAAAGATGTAAATTCAAGAATTTTTTGTCAATGTATTGTCGTATTGTTTAACAAATTAATGTTGTTAAACAAGTCATCAGTGCTTTACAGAGGTATACTATATGTAATTTAAAGCAATTAGTCCCTTTTATAAATTTCGATAGAACAATGAGAGGACGGAGTTGATCTGAAAAATGTGATGTATTTGTGCTATACATTTCGAACAATCTGGTCATACATATACTTGTCAGGGCATTTTATATGAAAATTAATAAAGGTCAATTAAATGAAAGTAAAAAAGTAACGAAGAGGAGAGAAAGAATAAGAAATTGTTCCGTTATCCTTGGCCATAGAATGACTCAAGGATTACCAAGGTAAATTCAAGGTTACGACAAATTGTTTTTGTACACATAAGAGGGATTTAAATTTACGAATAGCCAAGGTTTCAATAAACTTGAGAATTCGTCCTTGACAATTTCTATACAACGTTATAAAAACTGTAATAATGTCAATTTTGTGACCCGTTTCAATTATATGTTTCGCTATCGATGACCCTGGTTTTCTACCTCCTACGTTGATCGGATCATTTGACACACATTGATTTTGAAGCCATCTAGGCACCATATGGCTTCTTCGTATGAGTTTAAATTGAAAACATTATTTAATTAGTATATATTTTATTGTAAATTTCATTCACCATACAAAACGTCAACTAGATAGATATTATGTACTTTAAATCTTTTAAACAGATGACAAAAAACAGGTCATGGATTGAGTTACATATTATTAAGTTATACTGAGGATTCTTTTTTAATGTGACAACTATTATGAATTATTCAGTAGGTAACATTGCATAGTTTACTTCATTTACCAAAAAAAATCAATCACTGTAATGTATAAGATTGTGTACATGAAGTAATGAATTGTGAAGTATGTATCCTAGATGTTTATAGATTTATTAACTTCATCTAATTAATTTCCATGTGACATCAGTTCAATGAAGTTGACTAACTATTTGTAGAAAAGTCTTCTTGTCATATCCTGTAAGTCAATTCGATATTAGCATGATAATTTGATAATACACGTCTATAATTCAAGATGGAATACTGAATACATAGGAATGTATTATTTAGTTCGAAAATAATCTTTTATTCGTTTACTATAAAATCTAACATTTAATAATTACTGTTACAAAGATAACAAATAGTACACTACTAGGAGAAAAAAAAACATAAATCAAATATAGTCTAAAAGAATGGCCTAGTGGATAAATGGTGACTTAAAGATTTCACAATGAATTTTGATAAAAATCTAATTTGTTGACATTACTTTATCACATGATACAAACAAATAATAACAAGATCACAGTTTTGTACTATCAAAGATAAAGATTTTCGAATTCACAGATTTATGTAAAGACGGGTTTTGTTTGCATTATTTGTACTTATCAGGGTTTTTTTTGTTATTGATAAAAACAAAAGCAATTAGAGTCTTCATAATGATGGTGGTTGATATAGAATTGCATAGGAATAAGATTCTGAAGATTGTTAATTATGGCAAATTTCTATTGAAATTGATTTGTCTCCCGTAAATCCATTCCATTTTATAAACATAATTTCCCTGCTTTCAAATATTACCTCCCAATATATCACTTCGTTTACTGCGCAGTTGACTACTGATTTGTTAGCATATTTCGAAAACACATCAAATCACAATTAAGTTTTTTGATTAAGATCATGAATCAATCATGTCGGCATCCAACGGTGTTAGTGTCTAACTTTAACCAGTCCTTGAAATTGCGTGATCATCTTCCATTGTCTGAGGTAAATACCTGTCTTTACCTGAAACGGATTAGCTCCGCTGGTCACGGCTTCTCGCTAAAACTCCGACGATTCCCTCAATAGTGAGCATAATTAATTTATATTTAACGATAGGTTTAAGTCAATCGGCAGTACTATTTCTTCTTGGCTCTCTTGTATCAACTAGCTACATATCACGAAACTACAGAAAAAACAGAACGATATTATGTTAAATTAAAATATTTTAATTATTATCATTACTTCGAAATAAATTGTTGGTTGGTTAGTCGTCAGAAAAGATTTAAGTTTCTATTAGGTAAACAAGTATGAAATTCAACCATTCTCACATTTTTTCGTAACTATAGCAAAAATGCATTGCATAAGAAGTAAACGTTTTATTTTTGGTTACTATATTCATGCAAACTATACAAAGTCAAAATATATATGTAATACATAATAAAATCTTCATAATTATCCTCACAATTATTATAAATAAATAACATTCAATATTAATTAACTGTATTTATGACGATAGTTAAATGAAACTCTGTACATTACACGAATTAATTTACTGATAAACTATTGTATTACTGAATTCTCTAATGAACTGTAAAAATATAAAATCATCCTAAAATAAGCTAACTACAAGTAGAGGGTTATGAATAAGAAAAAAAATACAAATTCGATTGTAAAATTTAAAGTAGGTAAACATAAATCAGTTGTAAATATGAACAAAATCTTTCAATAACTCAAACTTCAATCTCATAACCTATTCAATTAAACTATTAATGAAATAAATAGATAAGGTGGTTTTCTGTTCAGCTATTTATTACATTCGTGTTATCGTGAAAGTAACTTATGTTTATTTATTTATTTATATGAAACTAGTCCACCATAGAAAACCTAAAAGCACTGGATGACCATTTCGTCCCAGTACGCGAATTCTCAGCAATGTACATCCACAATTCCGCCTCGCGAGATTCAAACCCAGGACCTATTGGTCTCGTGCGCGAACGCTTTACCTCTAGACCACTGAGGCGGCATCCAACGGTGTTAATGTATAACTTTAACCAATCCACGAAATATACAGTGATGGAGATCTATGTTTTGTTAAGCACAATGCCAAGAAATTTTAGAAATATGTATATCTTTTTAATATCAATTAAAAAAATAAATCATGTACATCATGATAAGTGAAACAATTTGAAGAAATGGATTTTGCAGTTTTAAAATAAAATTTACTTGGTGTTGTTTTACTTATATCTTCCAGTTGTTATTTAGGACTATATAAAGGGTTATATCGAAGCAATCCGCACAGGATACACATATGCCAACATGAGACGGATCAATTGCGGTCCTAAATAACAATGGGAAGATACAAGTTAAGCAACACCAAATGAATTCAAACTTCACCCTATTGCACAAGATGGTGGCTATGATTACTTAGTAGCTACGTGGATAACGCGATGGCGTTTGAAGCGAACGGTGCTGGATTCGAGTTCCAGAGTGAACATCAACTCTGAGATGCAGGTATATCCAGCTGACGAGCCTCGAATAGGACGAAACACGCGTTCTGGGTTCCCCTGCTAGCCACTATCTATCTTTGTTTAAAATGAAATGCATTAACTTACTATGTAAATCTAGTAAGTTGAAAATTCCCTGGTTGAATAAAATCAGGGGGTAAATAGAATAAAATGGGATTTTTTGAAGCTTTTTAATCTTTTTTTTAAATTCACTGTTGATCCCACATTTCAAATAATGCTTTAATTTTAAAGTGTTAATGCGTTATTGTTTTGAATTATATATATGTTTGCGTTATTAGAGGAAATAGGAATAATGAGATGAACCTAGGTGTCATTCTAGTTGGCACTTATCAACAAGGCGCATCTATATTCTGTAGCATACACTACCAATCATAGGAATTATCAGTGGACTGTTCGGGTCTCTGTTAAGTTGATAAAAGACGGTATCATTGAGTAATAACTAATGTCATCATTGATCAATTCTTAAGCGTGATACACTCTATCTCTAGTCAATTAAATGACTGATTATATTGCATCTCGATCGATGGAACTTCATTTGTAATAAAAATTACATGGATACAACATTGGTTATTTCGAAAAGACTAATTAGTGAGTTTTTCGGTTCAACATTGAAGTTTCTTTCTTGATTCATCTCAGATTTTCATATAGTCAGTATTTACTGGTTGATTAAATAACTAAATCACTAGTCACTATTAAAATTCATTATTTTAAATAATACTGTAGTGGCTGATTTCCCCTATATCTGACTCCAATCAATAGTATCCCGTTATCTGAGTATTTAATGCAGGCTAAATCTATTAGAATTATGGATGTACTCGAGATTATTCAAAAGCCTAGACACCAGTTATAGAGTTAGTTTATTGTTAAAGATTGGTAAAATCCGCAAGCGTACAGGAAGCAAGCACACAGGAAAAACAAAAGTGTGTGTGCGTGTGTGAGCGTTGAAATTCCATATATATAAATTACAGTGAGCAGATAAATAATACAGTAGTTGAATGGGCTTACTACAATGTAATATAATTACAATATGTCGTCATTTTTATACTTTTATTCTTTGATATTATGTAATTTGTTGTTTGTTTTCCTTTTAGTGAGCTTTCATTTTCTTGTAAATGATATAAAACAATAAATTTCATCGTAAAACTTGACCATAACTTTTTTTTAAATTAATGGTAGATTTTCTTTAAATTCCTTTATCAGTATGGAGTCATAATGTTAATGTAGTCAATCTTAAGTGAATAAAATTTCTAAAAATAACAATATTATGTATTATTGACCTTAAACATTAAAAGTTAGATAAAAATGATTATATAATTAAAATGTTTTCTAATAATGGTATTTAATTAGCTTTTCATATAATGTACTCTATTATTTTAGGGGGGAGGGGTGGGGGTTGAAAGTGAAAGTTTATAAATTTCAATCAATAGAATTAACATATGTCTAAACAATGATCAAAACTTATTAAGCGGTTTTTTAGTTATAAATATTTTACATGTTTAAAAATATAGCGGGCTTAGTGACGATATAAGATATCGTATAAATTATAATGTAATCTCTAAATTAAGTGGCTCGGTACGTTTAAAGATAGTACGTCAACCAGTATCTATGACTATCATCTTCACAT